TTTCCTGTTTTTTAATAACTACAGAATTGATAACCCTGCAATTTGACTTATCAGACTAGTAAAGTTTTTTTTGTCCAAATTTCTGGGATGAGGAGTTATTTACATTATTTACAGTTGGATTAATATTCTCATCATTGTTATTATTTTAATGTTTCGGTCATTGTACTCTCTGGCTTTCTTCAGGTGTCCTGTCAATCTGGGTAATCATCAGTACAGCATTTCTCAATTAGTGTGCTTCAAGGTACTAAAATTCCTGAAAGTTAAGAGTAATTTGAAATATTAACTTAAAAAAAGATTTTTATTTTAAAAAAATACCAAGCTCATGTCTAAGTCAAGGTTAGACATTTGATATTTTAAACTGGATGCTAAATTTCTTAATCTTTAAGGAGAAGTGGATAATCCTTTGGCCTTCCTTAACTGATTCAAATCTGTCAAAAAAAAAAAAAATAAATAAAAATAAACATGTTTCTTCATAAATTTGTTTAAATGGAAACTGTACTGGTAATCTTCTTTGGGAATGCTAAACTAAAATTTCATATTTTCAAATTTTATGACTAATTTTTCTTTATTAACCTCTACCATGCTAATTTCTCCTGCTACTCCATTTTTTTTTTTTATTTATTTATTTATTTATTTATTTATTTATTTTTTTTTTTTGAGGGTGCAAAAACAAACATTTACTGTTTTAAATTTGTTATAACTTTCTTTGTATTGTGTGTATAGATTTCATTCTTTGTATACTAATAAAAGAATGGATGAGTAATATTTTGATGTAATGCATGCATGTTTTGACGTTGAAAACAAAAAAGAAAGAAACTCAAAATAAAAAAAAAAACAAACGCATTAGCAATTTAACATACTTCAACTTCATAAGAAGCAAAATGGTTAAGAAGGCTATCATTTCGTCAGAAAGTGATGTACTTGCTTGTGTTTACATACGAGAAGACACCAGCATTGGTTTGGTCTTTCTTTCACCTGACTAGCATATTTATTTGTCTCGTTGACAAATAAAGTTAGTATTTCATTGAAATAATGTAGAAAAGCTATATCAATGGTTTCCAGTAGCTTCCATAAAATTATTCAGCCATGGATGATGATAGCCGCCAGTGGTCATCAATATTTTCACCCATGGAGTAATGTGTGGTTATTATCTTTGAACATTTCACTATTAAAATCATCATCAGAGTCCAAATATAAAAAAAAAAAAAAACTGAATAACGGCTTCGCTGGATGTTGATGCAGCCATTTATCGTTACAAAAAATTTAATCAATGTTACACCTAGTGTAGTATTGAAATATTAAATATTGCATCGGAAAAACAGAAGTTTAGCCTCATTCCAAAGCAGTTGTAGGTGATTTCCAGCTTAAAATACCAGAAATAACAGTTGACAAATGTTTATTTATAGCAACTGTCTCAAGGCGACAGAATGCGCCTAGAGCAGCAAAGGGAAAGGATTCTACTGCAACAGTTTTCGTCTTCAGCATGGTAAAGGTTAAAATTGAAAGTGTACCCCAGAGTTTATTTTACAAGTACACCCTGAAGTTAAAAGGGTTGAGAAACACTGCATTAGGGAGTTTAGAATTGAACCTGTTGTTCTTATTCCACAATCCATGCCTCGAGATAACAACTCCACTTGCTCAACTTTTTTTGTTGTTATGTCCTGCTATGTAAACACCCCCCCCCAAAAAAAAAAACCCCAAACTGTTTTGCCTGATATTGACAGTGACAGGACAGCAATTGAGGTACATTGGAAAAGAGTACATTGAAAACTGTAATATTTTTAATTATGCAAAGATCAAAAAGTTAAAAGAATGTAATAGCAAAGATTAAAATCAAATAAAGGTTTTCTGTGTGTTTTTTTTTTTTTTTCCTTCTTTTTTTTTTTTTTGTCGGTGTGTGTTTGAGTTTAATCAATTCTCTAGTCATCTATAGTAGTGGTTCCCAACAAGACAATTTTTCCATGGGCTAGGGTGGTGTCGGTCATGCGCATAACAAAATACTGTAAACAAGACTGTAATAGTCAACAAAATGTAACAAAAAAGTTTTTACTCTTAAGGTGCAGCCAGTTACCAAATGGTCCAGCCCAGTGGTTGGATACTGCTGATCTATAGTTTAATTTTTTTTATTTATTTATTATTTTTTTTTCTGAATAAAAGAAACTCTGTACTTATGGAGGTGTAAATATTCACCCTCAAAATAAACCCTGCTCACCACTTAAAAAAAAAAAAAAAAAAAAAAAAAAAGTGGTGAATATTTTAGCATAAAAAGTAATTATTCACTGTTGAATTCTTATTAGGATTGGTTCCAGTTTACAAATAGCTTTTTCTTAAAAATTTTATTGTGCTAAATAATGTGTAACACCATTTTTATTTTTATTATTTTAGCTTTGTGTTGTAAGTTCATGATCTCTAAAGTGATATTAGACTTTCAAATGTTGGAATGTACTTTGCAATCATGTGTTGAATGTTAAAACTTTTGTGGGCTCTCCTGCTGTTATTTAAAAAACTAAAAAAAACAAAAAAATACTTGTTCCCTAACCCTTGTCCTCATGAAAGTGTCATGGTTAAAATAAGAAACAAAACACTTAAAACTTGAGTTCATATCTTTTTGTTTTTCATTTCTTGTTTTATATTTAAAAAAAAATTATTCAAACATGACTGGATTCTTTTTTGGTAGGGTTGTTATTAAATCATATGTCTGAGTGGTTAAAATTTTTTTTTTTTTTTTTTTTTTTTTTTTTTTTGTTACTGTATTATTTATGCTAACTTTCACCTGGGTTTCAAGAAAGCTTTTTAAGTCAAGGCCTCTTTTTGTTAATATAAATTTGTTGCAACACATTATATTTGGTAAAAGAAACTCATATGTCATTTCACTAAATTTTCCACAGCAGATCTACGTATCATGTTTTACAATTAATTTGTTGAAGGAGGCCCACTCTAAGTGTCTTTTTATCTTAAAATTTCATCTGAGTCTATGATGCAGAAACTAGAAAATAAATTGCAAATTAAAATAACTTGTGATAAAAATCTATTAGCAGGAAGGTAAATATGATAGCAAACAATGGTGCTTTACTGTTTTCTGAAATCCTGTGGAGGGATGGAGTTGTTGTGGTTGTTTCGTAATCATGTGAAGTGGAAATTAAAATAGGAACTGTTTGGGAATTATTCAAACATGACTGGATTCTTTTTTGATAGAGTTGTTATTAAATCATATGTCTGAGTGGTTAAAATGTTATCATTTTGGCCATGAAACCTAGGTTTGCTTGATAACATTGCTGTGTGGCACCATCGGAAAGTGCCTGGAAACTTGGGCGAACATGAAGTCCTCATAATCGACAGTTTTGCCTTGTTCAAATTGTTGATCATGTGTCACATTATGTGCACCCTCTTACAAACAGTAACTAAGACTTGCTTTGTATAGTTGGCTCTGTGGTTCTTGAACAAACTTAAATGTGCCTGTGCAGGTCATGTACAGTAGGGATTAGTTAGTCACCCCAACAGATAGACATACTTTGAAAATGAGTGGCCAGCCATGCAAATGTACAGTTTTTCTTTTCTTTTTTTTTTAAATTGTTTTTAAAAAAAATTTTTTAAATAAATTTTCTTTTTTAATGAAAAGTTGGAATTACTACCAAATAATGATACTAAAGTGAATATGACATTAAAAGAATTCCCAGTAACACTCATAGCAGCCCCATTGAATTTTTACATTCACTTAGTAGGTTGTGACCTGCATTTTGAGGAGGTTTGCTTTCAAGTATTTGTGTCTTAGAACAGTGTATTTCTTCTTGGTATTATCTACGGTTAATATAAAAAGTGTTGCACATTTATATGTTTTGCTTTATATTGTCGGTATTATGTATGTTGCCTTTGGTGTTGGTTTTTTTTTTTTTTTGTTTGTTCTATTAGAGAAAATAAGAACAATATCTCATTTTTCTGTACTTTAGATTGTGGAGGTTGCAGATGGAGGTTATTCTGCAGTACCCAGTAAGCTTGTCTATGATATTTTAGTAGTTCATGGTAGTAGTTGCAGTGGTCTGAAAAGGTCAGTTTTGGTTGATAGATGTATTGGTTTCTCTTGGCGATGGTTGATAGCTTCTGTAGTATCTTAAGGTGGTTGGCAATAATTTCAGGCCTCTTTGCACAGTCAAGATTGGGTAAGAAACATGAGTCTATCTCATGTATGCTGCAACAACTACTGTCCCTCATAAAATAAAGATAAAAAAGAAAAAAAATTGTTCATTGTTGATGTAATCTATAATGTAGTATTGGGTTCTGCAGAATTGAAGCCAAAGATGACATGATTTAAAGTTGACTATAATACTTGCAGTATGCTGTTTTATATTTTTTGTTTTGCTGTAAGCCAATTCACACTATTTTAACTATCCTCAGTTTCTTTTTCTCTTTGTTATGCTTTCAAATTAACATTACCTTATTCCTTGTCTTTTTCAGACTGTGGCCACTTCAATTTTTGTTTGGATGGTGTACTGCGGTGTGGTGGGAGTTGTATTTGCCAGTGTGAAAGCTATCAATTACAAACTCCATCACATGTTCGACACCTCTGAAGTTTTTGAAGAGGCTCTCGACAAGTTTGCAGAGAAGAATGCTTCTCAGAGCAAGGTTGGTTCGAGGCGCTCCAGTGCTAAAAGTGAAAACAAGAATGGTGGAAATAGGTAAGTTATGTGATTTTCTCAGGATTAAAAACAAGTTCTTGATTGATTGTATTAACTATGCTGACTCTTAATCTCCAACCTAGGATTGAACTCATCATCCTTGGCTAACAAATTACACCTACTCCTCAGCTTAATAGATGTTTATTTCCTTTCCTGCCAAAGTAGATTTAACTTTTGGGAATTATATAAGTTTTTTGAAATTTCTCCTCGGTGAATATTTTTCTGTTGTTTAGTGAAGTGCTGTCACTCTGTTTGTTGAGCAAGATTCTGATTTAACAGATTGTATATGAGAACTTCAGTTTGTCTGAAGTAGAATAATTCTTGAACAAAACATTGGTTCCCGTATGATCACCAAAGTTAAGCATCAATGAACCTGGTCAGTTCCTAGGTGTGTGATCTCTTGGGAATACCAGGTGCTGTAAGTTTGGTTGCACAGGTGGTGTAATGGATAGTGGCTTGAAATTGGAAATCAGAGAATAGAGTTCCAATTCCAGTCAGGTTTGTTATATTCACTAATGTGTAAATACTCTTGGGAAAGGTAGGAACCCATCTCTTCTCCTCCTAGCTGTGGGTTAATTAATAAGACTTGCATCAGTAAATAATTATCGCCCCAAAATGCTTACAATTTAAAAAATAAGTATTTTCTGACTTTAAATAACCTGTAAAAGGTTGATAAACCATAAAAAACGAATCAGTCAATTCTTTAACGAGTTGGACCTATGAAAATTCTATGGGTGTTGATAAGTAATATCTATGATATTGTAAATCTTCAGTTTTCTCATGGCTGTGTGGATGGTGTAATGGAAAGTGGCCTGGAATGAGAAATTGCAGAGTTGAGTTCTGTTATGGGTTAAATAGTAGGATGTGTATCTGGAAAAATCATTGTCAATCTGAAAAAAAATTATTGTTAATGCAATATTCATTCACAAAAAGAAGAAAAAAAGAAATTACAATCCAAATTATATAAGCCACAAAGTGTTGATAAGCTATAAAAAAAAAAAACAAAAAAAAACAAAAAAAACAAATCAATAAACCACTTTTCTTACCCTTTGTCTGTATCTTCTTATTCTCTCCCTTATACCTTCCAATCTTTGTTTCCTATTCATTGTTTGATCTAAATGTCATATATAAACATGAATGAGTTTCATGTACAATGAATACACAAATATTACACCAACACTTCTTTCTTTTACTCTTTCTCTAAAGAATTTTAATTATTACGTCTTTCCAATCCTATCAGCATTTTAATCTTTCACTCATTGTGTCTTGATATGTAGCCAGAAAACCTGTATTGGACTATTACACCTAGGAATTATTATACCACATACACAGTATCAAATCATTCTTGTTCTCTTTGTATTCCATTGTTAAGATGAAAGTTCCATTCGAACAGCTTCTTTCTGAGAAATGCTGCTTAGTGGAACAGACTCCTAAGAGGATACTTCCCTGAACACTACAAACTTAACCTATTCAAGTTGAGAGTCAACCATTATCTATCCTGCACTTCTTACCTCCTCCTATATCCATACACAGTACTTTGAGTGGCCCTTGGGCCTTGTATTGGGTTAACATTTATTGAACAAAAATAGCATTAACATGATGGAATGAAAAAGAATTGACTTGAATTTGAACTCGGACTGGCAATTTCACTTTCCACATTGATAACTATCCACACATCCACCTTTGTAAAGTGTGGTAACCTTTTTAATTTGAAAGGTTCTATAATTTTAATATAGCATACTCATGTATGCATATACCTCAGACACATACGTATGTACATGTGTATGTATTTGGTGAATGTGTGCGTGTGTGCTCATGTGTATTTTGCATTTGTTATTTGTTGAAAAGATTTGTCACAACTGCCATCAGCAATTGTTACTGCTTGTTTTTTTTATTTTTATTTTTTTAAAAATTGATATCAACCCATGCAAGACAGTAAAGTCAATAAGACACAAGAGGTTACAGGTTGTGGGAAAATTAGGGACAGAAACATTAATAATGAGCTGGAAGAGGAAAGCGTAATCATGAGGATTGTAGATAGTGATTGACATTGCATTTAAATTTTTGCAGGTTAAAGTTGGCTAGAAAGCATGGAGTTCCACAAGCGAGGAGTGCAAGAAAAGAAACTGATGCTGACATCTGGTCAACTCAACTGTAAATTGATGAAATCTTGATGTCAGTTTAGTACTGCACTTAAATTAAAAAAAAGTCTAGATACCATAGCAAAGAGTTCATTTGAACAATTACCATGAAAGTATTTATAGAAAAGGCACAGAGGCGCAACATTATAGTGGTGGGAAAGTGACTGAAGCTGAGATGCCAGATAATGACCAATAATATTGCTTATTCTTTTGGATTTCATCAAGGAGCTTGAGGTAAATAGCAGGGACACTAGACCATATATGGCAGTAATATTCAAAGCATGGATGAATGGTAGACTTATAGATGTATGTGATAGATTCTGGAGAGAAAAATTGTCTACACAGTGAACCGGCATTCTTAGCAGCTGACCTAGCAATGGATTCAATATTGTCTTTCTACTTCAGCAGCTTTACTGCCACTTTGCAACATAAGTATCAGATATAGATAGGTTTGGATTTTTTTCTCCATGAATTATTTGGTATCCCAGTCCATTTTACCTTACAACCCTGGCATGGTCCAGACAAAATAAAAAAAAAAATAATTTTTGTTTTGGTCATGAAGCCATCTTAAAAACTGTGAGAGAAAAGGAGGAGTCCCCTGTCAAATTTGTTTTTCAGTTGGGAACTGAGTGTAGCTATCATGTGACCCTTGATATGTAAGGATAGATCATTTTTGTATCCCTCTCTAGTTTGGTGATGTGAGGAATTTAGTAGATTTTTTTTTTTTTTAAATTCCATATAGTCTTACTTTAGACTTCCAATACAGGTACTTCATGACTTCAGTACACAAATATTTCAAGTGACATTCAGCTTGAATTATTCACATTGTAAATGAAGCTATAGCATTGATGTATTTGGTTTATTTACTTTTCAAACTATAATTGTTTGATGATTTCATGAGCTCCAAACCCACAGAAAATTTAGAATTAAGGATAAATGCTAAAAGATTAATTCTGAAAAGTTTCAACAATTTCAAATTTGGAATTCTGTGGCATTTTATATTTGGCAGGTAAGAAATCCTCACACTCATCCAAATCTGGAATAGGGTTAATTCAATATCACAAAGAGATATATGTAAGCTGGGCAAAGTTGTACATGAAAACTGATTTCTTTTGGATTTTTGTAATTTTATATAATCTTACTTTAGTCTTCCAATATTGGTACTTCATGACTTCAGTAGACAAATATTACAAAGTGTATTCAGCATGAATTCTTTGCATTGTAATTTAAGGACTTGGTTTATTTACTTTTCAAACTCTAATCGTTTGATGATATCACTAGTTCCAGAACCAGTGATAATCCAAAAATATAAGATAAATGGTAAAAAAATAATCCTACAAAGTTTGAAATATTTTAAGCCATTATTCAGAGCTCTACGTTTTTTTTTTTTTTTTTATTTGGTGGGCAAAAATGCCCCTCCTCCTTTTCACAATTCCAAAATAACCAACCTAGAATAGGGTTAATATTTTGAGAACATTTTTTTTTTAACTGGTTTCATTAGCGATATAAAACAAATAAGATTTGATTTTTAAAATCTGATTGCTCTTTACTTTTAGTTCAGTTTGATGAACGGTTGTACTCTTAATGAGGTTCCTTGCTTTGAATGCATATTGGGACTAAAGTTCATGCGGAAGTCATATACATGATCCATCACTAAAGACACTTAGAAAATGGTTGCTTCCTTCTGCCTACCAAAAGTCAGATCAGACCAAAAATGGAGTATTGCTGCCATATCTTGGCTGGAGCTGCCCAGTCCTCACTTTCCAGTTTTGGTGTAGGGTTAAAAGACAAAGCTAATGCTGATCCTAGCACCAAGAGTTTGAGATCAGAGAGATGCTTATTGGAATATTTTTATTTCTTAAATGTTATTTTTGGTGGATGCCCATATTTGAGTGGACGCTCTGTTTATATTTATTTTTATCTACTGGCCTGAATATTCAAGAAATCTTATTATTTACATGTGCTCTGTGGCAGGATTTGAACCCACAGCCCCCTTGACAGGAGAATCTGACTGATACAGACTTGGCCATGAGTGTGTCATCAATCAAATTCGAATAGTGCAAGGCACAAATCTTACTTGGGCTCTCCAAACATTCATATGTGCTCAACTCCCCCCCCCAAAAAAAAACACTCATATCTGCTCAGCTCCCCGAAAACACTCATTAGTCTCTTCTTTTATATTTTAATCTAGTGACAAGGAAGAATACATTGAGATGTCTGTTATGAACCACATGCAAAATACTGCACTAACACCTCCTGTCCACCACAGTTCTCGCAACTCTTTAGCCATTGAAAAGCAAACCTCTAAAGACCAGGATAGCAGCCAACCTGATATTGATGATTCTAAGAACGATGCGGGTAAGTATTAAAAATTTTTTTTTTTTTTTTTTTTTTTACCTTATTTATTTTAATTTTATATTCACTTTTTATTGATTATTTAATATTGTCTTTGTAAATTATTTTCCTCCTCTCTCTTTTTCTTCCACCCCCTCCTTTTGTCTTTCTTTTTTTTTTTTTTTTTTTTTTAAAAAAATTCTTCAATGTCACCTTTTTGATTTACACTTTCCAGTCGTCTTTTTTTATAATTGAATTTCACATTTCTCTGCACTATTATTCACTTAAAAAAAAAAAAAAAAAAAAAAATATGAACTGTCTAGATTTGAGTAATGTGTTTATATTGTAGAGATGTAGAATTGAGATAATTGAATGGTAGCTGATGTATTGTTACTTTTTTTTTTTTTTTTTTTTTTTAAACCATTGCATTGTTTCTCCCTGGATGATGAATTGCCTTTCTTTTTTTTTACTTACATAGAATTGTTACATTTTTCTTTTTCTTTTTTTAAAATATGGAATGAGAAATTTTCAGGCTTAAATAAATATAAACAAATATAAATCTGAGGTTTGCAAAATAATTTGATAATTAATTTGTATTTCATATTATATCAAAGGTTATATTCATAAGAGACGTGTTTGTGTAGATATTCCTGTCCGTTTTTTTTTTTTTTTTTTTTTTTTTTTTAAATAGTTTAAATTTATGTCTGCTGGCTTGTGCATTTGAGAGTCTTAATAAAGAAAATGTGCCTTCTGGCAAAGTCTGATCCTGCCTCCTAAAGGAAACCATCAACTGGCTAGGTGTGCTTTAGAGCAGCGGTTGCCAACCTTTTGTAATGGACCAGTAAATGTATAATTTTAAATTTGGCGGACCATGGATATGAATTTAAAAAAAAAAGAAGGTAAATACATTTATATAATGATAATTGGAAAACTTATTTTATTAATAT